AAAATCCTCGAGGATGGCTGGTAACCTTATTCACCATGTAAGATTGACTTCTTCAGTTATTGAAAAAAAAATTTTCCCCTTATAAAATAAGTCATTACAAATGCTTGACTTGTTTTGCCATAAGGAAGTGCTGATTGTCATGCGATGTGGCGCATCGTTTTTATTATTTTGGCAAGAACAGGGACAGTTTTGTCTTGACAAGCCATTAGATGAATGCCAGTGTGTGTCACATGAAAAACCACTGATCTTTAACCCAGCGCTGCACTTAACTGAGCCTTGAAAATGAATAGTGAATAAAAGAAGAGCAAAGGCTAGTTTACTGTCATTGCAGATTACAGACTCTCTTCACAGCTGCAGACTAAACCCAGGGAATTACAGGTATTGTTCAGTAAACCAGTGCTTGTCCTAGAGATGCTAGCTAAACTGTGGTATAATAAAGTGTACACATAGAGAATTTATATAGCCGGAAACATAGCAAGATATGAAAATCATGGAGTGCTTTCTCAAGGCAGTAAGTGTACATGCCTTTATCATAAAACCATACATATTTACATAGTACTGTCTCTGGGAACTTTTCATGTTCTCACAAAACTTAAGAGAGCAAGGAGGTTTTAAAGGAATTGTTAGTAAGCATTTAAAAGAAAAATTAAAAAGCCAGCCCCTTTATTCCCAAATTAAAAACAAAACACAACAAAACCACAGACATGCAAAACAAAATCCTTTGCTTACTTCTTCAGGTAGTAATTATGGCTGATTTTTCTTATTTATTTATTTCAAAAGAAGGTGGAGAGAAAACCTCAAACCCGTCTCAGCACCCAAATATCGAAAAGGATGTTTTAAAAAGTCAGTTGAGGGAATTATTGCTTACAGGGCTAACAAGGAAGAGCACACTTTTTTTAAAACTCTGTTGGTGGAATTGCTTTGCACCTCCCTATAGTCTTGTTATCCCACACTAACTGAAATGCAAATTCTTTGCAACTAATTGGATCTCATTGAAGGTACATGCACAGTGTGTAGTTATATGCAAAAAAGGTTTGAAAAACAAAATTTCCCTGTAATTACAACTTTGAATTGCTATCTTCAAAAATGTAATGTATAGTATAGATGTAGGATATGTATGCCTAACTTTATTTTCTTACACTTTACTCAAATATGGGCACTATGAAATACTTAATAAGGTGCCAACTCAAAAGGTACTGGGGAAAATGTGTAGTATTTACAGCAATCTGCTGGATTCATTGGATTTTAGTAAAGTCCTATGAAAAGAGATACATATTTTTTTAACTTTAGGATTTAGTATTTTGGAGCTAGAATATTAAAAGCTAATGGCTTAGAACACTTCTTGATAGAGTATTTTAAGTATGAAAACATTTAAACATTCAGGATCACTCACAATCAAAAGGTGTATCCCCCACCACCACCACATATCTTTCCGTTGTTGTCTATGCTATTTTAACATTGTAAAATGCATTTGTATCTTCTAATTTGTGTAAAGTGTATTTCTGCGATGGCTCGTGGCCAGCTTGGAGGTATTCACATTCCCATTAATGTCTTTAATAGTGTGCATGCATTTAGACCGAGTTGGTGTACATCATGGCTCTTCGCTCCCTTGTTAGTAAATGTGAGGAAGCTAACACATGGGCTTTAGAACTTGAGATTCCTTAACCTGAAATGTAAGGAATCAGGGCAAGAAAAAAGCAAGCAATTACTGTTGAAGTGATGCCCACCTCCCTTTCCCCAAATTTTACATAAGTTGTACATATGCTTTCAGGGAATCATTCCTTGCTCTGCACACCACATGACCATGGGGGGGGGGGGCACAGAAAAGTGCCTGCCTGTAGGCACCCTTATATTGTACCTGCACCAGTACAATAATGGTTCCCTGCTTGATAATCGACAAATGTATCCTAAGATCAAGGATTCCAGATGCTATGTTATATGTGGAAGGGAGTGGCTAATTCTTACTGTGTCATTTGAGATGTCTGGAGGGGTCAATTTTGAATTTTTTGAAGTTTCCATTTAAATGCTGGAAATGTAAAAATCTGCAAAGTATAGCATGTTGTGTATGAGTTTCAAGGATTTGGTTCGATTGTACTTGTTTAAGTCATAAAGTTGCCCTTTTTTGGCATCTAGACCTACAAATTGGTTGCGATTTTGTTTGATGATCAAATATACTTAAGTTTGGTATCTCATGATAGATTGCTTGTGAGAAAAAAATTAAATCTCAGTTTTGGGAGGCTTGTGCTCTGGCAGTTATGTTTGGATAACAGGTATACTGCAGGTCTCTGTTCCGCTAGAGCAACCCCAGACCTTGCTACCTGAAAGAGCTTCCTTTGCCTACACTGGGTGGGTAGCATTTTGTCAGAAAATTGCTGGCTGGGCAGACCAGATTTGGATGTATTAGCTAGTCAGCCTAATAACCCTGTACAGACTGTATTGATTTTCTAGGAGAGAGTTTATGAACTAAATAAACTTGGGGTTGGTGTCTTAATAAACTGCTTCTCTCAGTCTGTCACATTTAGTTACGGAGCTGTGCAGTTTAGGGGGAAAAAAGGCTAATTCTGTTACAGATTGTTCACAGCAGGGTCTCCAAATTAGCCCTTTGTTTTGTAATGCCACCTTGCTTGGGCTCGCTTTGAGCACATTTCTCAGTTTTGCCCTAATGAGTTGCAACACTGATAATGTGGCTGATGATCTTTCATTGATTTCACTATCACTTGCTTGTCTGGTAATTGATCCGTTGCTGAGCCTCTAGTTAATTATATCGGCTTTGACATGGCCCGGCCCATGGGGAATTTCAAGTCTTGCAGAATAACAGTTTTAATAAAAGAGTCTATTACGGCAGGTGCTTGCTGCTGCATGCCAGTTGATTTTTGTGTGGGGTGTGTGTGTGTGTGTGTGTGTGTGTGTGTGTGTGTGTGTGAGAGAGAGAGAGAGAGAGAGAGAGAGAGAGAGAGAGAGAGAGAGAGAGAGAGAGAGAGAGAGACGCACTGAGACTGGGTGGGTGTGAGGATGTCTGGGAAAGCAGAGGACCACTGCAGGACCAAAAGGAAGAAGGGGTGTGGGCTGAAAGAAGAGGCAAAGAGAGTGAGCAGAGGTGGGGGGCTCCGCGAGAGGCGAGAGGGAACAGTAGGCAAAGTGATGCAGGGGAGCCTGAGGAGCCAAGAGGAAGCTTGCTATCGACAGTGTCCTTAAGCCTCCCACAAATAACAGCCATTAGTGGGAAGGTCAGGAGCTGAGCAGGCAGCTTGACTGAGGCACTGAGTGCCACTTCAGAAATCAAGAGGCTAGCAAATTTTAGAGGGAGTTTAAGTGGGTAATAGCTAGCTGTAAAGGTACAGTCACTGTTGACAATTGACTCATAGGGGCTTTTCCCGCCCTCCCCCCTTCAGGAATATTTTTATTGACCACAGGTGGACTTAATATATTTTAAGGCAACAATTCTTTGGGTTCTTGTTTGCTTCCTCTCAGATATTGAATTTGCTGCTTTTGAGACTTTTTTGTGCTTAATGGTGGTGAACTGGAGGGAAGTTTAACAGAAAAGCTTTCAGGAGATGACGGTTCTAGAGGGGAAGGCACATTTGTGTCAACATAGTGTATGTTTTCTCATCTTTTCTCATTGTCCACTAATGACACGGAGCTGCCATTGAAGCTCTTTCCGGTTTCTTTTGTTGTTTCAGAGAGTAAGGTTTATTGTTATTCTTGAGTTAAGAAGGAACAAGGAGAGTGGTACATTTGTCCTCGATATTTGTAGGTGGTTGAAGATTAATGTTCCTTACATTTTAAGTTTAGGAAGGATGGCTCTTTCTTGCTGACGACTTTTATGAGGCGGCATGAATTTAGCTTTCCAGTTGAAGTGACTGTGTATGCACAGTGCATTTTCTACAGTCCTGCTTTTCCAGAGAGGTAGAGGATGTCTAATACGTAGATTATTTGTTTTAATTAAAAAGTACAAGATGCTTTATCAAGGTCATGTTTCATCAGGCAGGAGAGTGATACAGACTTTTCCATAGAGATCCTGAATAGAAAAAAAAAGGGAGTTTTTATTTTCAATAATTTTTGGTTGAAATGGGATAGACTCTCCCGCCCCCTCATTTTTTTCTTTATAATTTGAAAGGATGGAACTTTAACAAAGATACACTTTTGAGATTTAAGCAAAGGTACACTGTTTTTTTTTTCTTTGCCATGAAAATTTTCACTATTTAACAGCCAGTGTAGTAATTAATAGCCCGAGGTCTTGAATATTAAAAATATTTATTTTTTTATTATTTCTAAAATATTTATTTTATAAATATTTATTGTGCATCTTAAATGTTAAAAGAAACTGACAGGCTTATTTACGTTTTCGCGTGTAAGGTCCCGTCTGTATATTTTCTCTAGGAGTTTATATGTGGTTATAAATAGCCTAGCACATACTATACGGCTTTTAGTACCTAGCATTTTGACAACAGCTGAGCCAACTTTATATTCTCTTACAGCCGAAGATTTTACTTTCTTCCAGTGTAATTAGGGAGGGGGGGGTGGAACCACATTTACAAATGTGAAACTAATATTGATGTCAGATATTTTCTGCTCTCTGGGAAAGCCTTGTGGGGAGATTCTTGGGGAAGGGCCCCAGCCTCTTCCTGTGTGCGCCCCACTCCTGGCGCTCCTGGCAGTGTGCATGTGTGTGCAACTATCTCTGTATCCGAGAGGGCTTGGTGCAGGGTGTCATTTGGTGCCTGACAGTAGAACAGTGTAGTAGACTCCAAGCCCTGCCGTCCAATGACATGCAGTGGCTGGGAGTTTGAAGCTGATGGTTGGGTCTCCAGTGCTGCCTGCACACCTGACAGGCAGCTGTTAAACCGAGCAAAGGCGAGCTTGGGGAGTCACAATCTATGCATAAATGATAGGGGTATCTGTACAGAAGGTGCGAAAGCAGCTCTGACCGTCCCCCCCTTCCCCCAAATCCCCCCCTTCCCAAATGAAATGCACAGTTCAGCCAGCTTCTTAACTACACTACACTCCTGCTACTGGCTGCCAAGAGGCTCAAAAAATCCACCTTCACTTTTCAGTCAGAAGAGGCAGAAGTGGATGTGAGCGAAAGAGACACACAGAGAGACAGAGAGCCAAAGAGGGCAAGAGACTTGACGTTAAGAGACTCCTGTACTGACAACTCCATGCAGTTCGGAACCAGAACGACGGCGGCTGAACCAGGGTTCATGGGGACATGGCAGAACGCTGACACTAACCTCTTGTTCAGAATGTCCCAACAGGTACGTTACTTTCTTTTCTTCTTCTTCTTAAAAAAGAAATGGTAAATTATTGTATGCACTTTTGTTTTTGCGATACTTGTTTGGAAATCTTTTACCCAGTTTATCACCGCCTAGTTGGGCTCAGTTTTGCCACTGGAATGTGCAGGGTTACTTCGTGCCTCCCCCAAGGGCTCCTAAAGAGACAAGGAGGGGAAAGAGGGGAAGTAAGATTGAGGACGCCAAGGCATTTGTTGCAAACTTTGAGGGTCCAGCCCGACCCTCTCGGAGAGACTTCATTGATTTCGTAGTTTTCTGTTAAACACAACCACGACCACCCAACCGATGCAGAAGGGCCTCTGTTTGTTGTATTAACCACTTCATTCAAGTGGCCGTTATGGAGGTAGGCGCCCCAAGTGTCGGGCCCTCCTCGCAGCCTGCCCGCAGCCTGGGGCAGCCAGCAGCGGCGGGAGGCAGGTCGGGAGAGCCGGCTGGGCTGCGGGCGCCGCC